CTGCGGTGACCGTGTGGACACCCGAGTTAGCCTGGGGACGGTTTTGGCGAGTAGTTTTGTTGTGTACAGAGGACGCAGACCAACAGATACAGGCAGATTACCCGGAATACCCTTTCTTGTTGGCAACTTTGAGGTTCTTTCACATGCGCGCACATGGCAGTTCGAACATCGTTCTGGAAAAGGTCCAGCAGTTTAAAAAAAACTTGCCATCTATAAGATTTCTAAAGGCTACGAAATGTCCATTCCTTAAGCAATATGTCTGCAACTTTATTCAAGCTGTTTATAAAGTATACACTGTGGTCCACGTCCATTACACAATTTTATGGGTAGAATGTTACCTCTTCCTCGTAGCGTAGAGAAATGTGTGATTTTCTTTAGACGAAATGCATACAGCATTCGGACAAGACAGCGAGCTCGTGGCTCAATGGTAAAGGCTTTAGACTCTGATCAAAAGGTCGCGATTTCGAGGCTCGGGTAGTGCACCGCTTGGGTCTGGGTATGACTGGCTGACGACGGCTAGCTAACCAGGAATGGCAATTCCATTCTGCCTTGTCTTTGCCGGCAATACTACCAGCATTCAGTTTGCTGATTTCACTGACAATCGATGCCAGTATGTCGCCACTAATGTTACAGTGTTCTGTTGTGTTTTTAAAATTTCTCTTTTTGGTATAGTACCTTATTGCCTGTTTATGTATCCACCCGAGTCAAATTAATCGTGTTTTTGCATTTCTGTACTGATAACGTTTGATGGAAGGGGGTTGCTTGATCTTCTGAAGTTGTAGGCGGTGGAAAGATCGACGACTGTGGGCCTATCTTAGGCACTTACGCCTTAATGTTCATATGGTAAATAAGTTGGTTGCTGTTAAAAGCTTGGAGAAGGGATAGGGGATGCTTCGACTAAGTTGGACTGAGTGGCTAAGTGTGTCATTTGCGAAATGTGTCTCCCAAAATGAATCGACGCTCAGCCTCACACAGGACTGTCGAACCAAAAGATTGCGCCACAACCTTGAGGAAAAGACTTCATTCAAAAGTCTGTGTTGAGCGCAGGCGACGTTTGTGCGTTTTCGTGTAGATGTATTATTGCCAATATTAGCTTACCTGCACAATAACTGTCTGTTCAAGCAGTTCAAGTGCCTCTCTCATTTCCTCTTCTGTGGTGCGCTTCCGTGTGACTAATGCTTAGTCTGGCTATCGCGCCATCTCGTTTAATTTTTCAGGCATTTAGCGCATTGCCACCGTTTGCTATTGGACTATTCGATCGTGTCTGCTCTGAGGCCTATTGTCTGAAGTACCCCACCGTCTACTCTGGTGTGCAGGAGGCCTACCCCTTCAATTTTAAGGTAGGTAACTGTTCACTTGGCCTTTCCTTTTCCATCTTCCGATTGCCACTTCGTAATGCCTGACTTGCATTTCAATGTCTTCTTTAGGCTTTCTTGCGATGGATATTCAACGCGGTCTTCCATTCTCTTGTTCTTTTCGCTATTCCAGCCGCGGCGTTTCATACGGGTAATTGTCCCTTGTACATGGCTGTTTTTATGAGATACAACCACATTGTTGTTAAACTTGCTTGAATTGATCTCTTAATCTGCGAAGCCAGAATGTTGAATCGCCATGGTAGCCCTAAAGATTTTTTAGAACAAAATCAATCTCTTAAATCGAGTAAGGTGAACTGCATGTACTAAGGCGGAATCAGTTTTGCTTTAGGACTGTATTGAAATGCCTTACTTTAATTTGAGACGGAATATATCTAAGTGGCTTCATCAGACGTCCCACTATCTATTTGTTTTAAATGTCGCGTCACGCACCTGCAAAGTAGTAGACGCTTAGATTGTCTCCCGGGGTTTGCTTGTGGTTTCTTACCTGCCTTCTCTAATGAACTTGTACGAAAGTGTTTGGCAAAAAATGCAGGCTTACCTCCAAACGCAATTTAAAATGGCAGTTTAACACCTTCTTATGTTATGAACTGGCCACACGCCTCGATGGTCGCCCGTTCAATAAATACCCTTGACTAAATCCCTATATGAGAACTAAACCACAAGAGCCGAAGAGGCCATGCTTACTGACGAACTCCGACAGGCGAAGAAGGAGCATTTAAGCATGTACAAAGATGGACTAAATTCGAACCAATCAGAGCGTGTGCTTCACTCGTGCACGTTTTGTTAGATGGATAGGGTGGTGTGCGAACGAGTGAGCTAGTCGGTTAGGACGGCTTCTCCTAACAGTATATGCATCAGAGTAACTGTCGTGTGTC